AAGGCTTATTGGTTTCGCCACTGTGCTCTTCGTTTCGATATGTATTATCATTGGAAACATATTCTACTTAGTTAATCTGCACAGAGGTGGAAGTAAACGCAGCGTTACCACTGGTAAGCTCAGAATAAATTGTACATTATGGCGATAGATAATATGGTTACCCTACGTCGACGAGAACTGGTATTTTTTCAAATCTAAAAGATAGCTGTTAAGCGCTTTTTACCAGCAATTAAGGAATCAATTTTCGCAGAATGTACCTCCATCTCATGACCACTTAATCATAACTTTCGCGAGCTTAGAATTTATACAGTTGGTAAGATCTACTACATCGTTACATAAGTTACACTGATTTCTTCTGCACTCTTTCTTTTTGTTGAATTCCTGAATCCTTTAAAAAGTAATGTATAGGTTGTGAAAGCGCTATTATCACTCTAGGGAGCCTATCTTCAATCAAGAATTCTCAAGTTGTGAAATTGAAAACAATAGGCAAAAAGGCGCTTTCTCGAGATATGGGTTTTTCATTGTTTAAAATGATGTCTCGAGTTTACGTGAAAGTTGTTTGAAGCTCCCTGCAAATTGACTACGATTATTCATAGGTATACTACAGGGTCAAACAGAAACTGGTAAAGCAAATAATACTGAAGGAGTGATATCCTCTCTATAAGCAAGTCAGACATGAACCCGTTCGCAAATTAATCTAGCCTTAACAAAAATCAATTTAAAAAATGCGAAATTTTTTCTGTCGAGTCAATATTATATTTTCGCTCGCAATTCAAAGAAAAACGATAAATGAGATTTTAAGAAGAAAAAGGGACTCCGATATAATCTTGTTCAAAATGTATGAAATGGCAAAGCGTTCAGAAATAATCTTAGGAACTTACATATGTAACGATCTAGTAGTCAGCCGCATTACGTCTATATCCTGACATTGGTACGCACTGTTTTCTTTCTATTTCTTTTTTTAAATAATCCCTGTCCCTAACTTAGCTGAGGACACACTCATTGCTACATAGAAATACAAGATTATCTAGTGATTAATCAAAGTACCTGTTTAAATGGCTTATTATCAGTCGATTGTCAGAACTACATAGTGCTGCCGTAGAGACCAACTTTAACATTATGCGCAATAGTAACAATGGACGCTTATTAAAATTTTTTAGCGCAACCATCAGCGGATTCGAAGGAATAAAAATCCATGTGATACCGCACATATTTCTGTTGAGTTACAATCCTATTTCGTCTATATTTGAATAAATATATCAAATGGTGTTAGAGATTTTAAGATAACTCTTCTAATAACCTAATCGTAAAGTGGAGAACCAATCCATATACTCGTTATTTTCGTAGTGCCCTGAATACGAGGAAGAATTATTAGGCTAATTGAAGGTCTCTCTACTC